CCTGGGTTCTGTCTTCAGCCCTGGGGCGGGCGGGGGGTGGGGGGAACCATACAGCATCTCATGTAATCCCCTCAATTCTCTGGGAAGTCAGTCTTTGTCATCTCAATTGCATGTAAGAGGAACTTGAGACTTAAAAGATATGGCATGAACCAGATGCCAGTGGTTCACACTTGTAATCCTAGCTACTCAGGAGGCTGAGATCTGAGGATCAAGGTTTGAAGTCAGCCTGGGCAGACACATCTAAGGTTCTTACCTCTCATTAACCAGCAAAAAGCCAGAAGTGGGGGGTGTGGCTCAATGTGTAGAATGAGCAAGCACCTGATGCAAGTCTCTGCATGTATGTATGTGTAAAAAACTTTCACCTCATGCCATAAGCAAGACACATTCCACGTCCTCAAGTCAAACTAGTCATTTCTCCTTCCAGGAAAGATTAAAGATGAGAAGAGTCAGGAGGCTGCCCCTCCCCACTGGAGCTTTCTTCAGATTCCTAAAGAGATTTGAGATAATAAGCTAATTTCCTCCAGTTTCAACTAGTGGTTAAATATGAGCCCTTTGTTATGGGAAGGCCAAGAATGTTTGTTTCGGTGAGGATGCCTCATAGGGGAAGAGCCAGGTTCCAGAGTCAAATGTAACACTCATGGCTGTGTGTGCATCTTGGCAAGTTCCCTCCATAAAATGGGTGGCAGGGCACCGAGTGACCTCTGACTCGCCTTAGAGTTCTTGCAAGGCAGAGGAGGGGTGTCCCTTATTCTTTCTTCCAAGCCCTCTAGTTCCTGAGGTGGAAAGTAAAAATGACAGAAGTGGTGTCTTGGAGCTAGGACACCCAGGTTTCAGTTAGGCTCAGACACTTGCAGGCTGGGTGACTGAACATGTCTCATTTGAACCTATGAAGTGTATGAGAGGGAAAGAGACATAAATAATGCCTGTGAAACCAGCTTCAAGCCTCACACAGCCCTTAGCAGTAGCTATTCCTCCTCTCCTTGCTTCTCCTGAGCAGCCATTGTGCTGTCTTCCTTGGTGTGTGGGGGCATGCGTAGGCAGGAGCCCAGGCAGTGAACTGTGGGAGCCTGCCAGGCTCTGCAGAAGGGATGAGGCTGTGCTCTGCTTAACATGGGCTAGCACCTGCCACTCCTGGACATCTATCCAAGGCTGGCCACACCTCAGAAGGTGCTTCTCCCCAGTGCTGCCTACGGGTTTGGTCATTGCTTTCCCTGCCCCCTCCCCCATTCCCACTGCATTCTGCTACCCCTACCTTTACCTCACACACACCCGTTTTTCCAGACACCCTTAGAAGGGATATGGCAGCAACCCGAACTGGTACCTGCTCACTCAGTCTGATGGGCTGAGGTCCAAGTTAGCCCCAAGGGCCTATCCTTTGAGCTGACCCATGGAGAACAGAAAGTATCTGCCAGAGAAAGATGTTACCATGGAGATGGACAACACATGGAGGGAGTGGCCAGGGCACTGTAGAGGCAGAAGCAGAGAAGACAAAGAGGTCCTGACTAGTGGGAAACTGTTTACTGCTCCTGAGGCTAGTGCCTCAAATAGATGTCTGTTTGGTTTTTTTTTTTTTGGGGGGGGGTCCGGTCGTGGGGCCTGAACTCTGGGCCTGGGCACTGTCCCTCAGCTCTTCAGCTCAAGGCTAGCGCTCTACCATTTGAGCCACAGTG